AGGATGCGGGATCGTTAGCGATAATTAACGGCGTGGTCGGGATGCGGGATCGTTAGCGACGGTGCTGAAGGATGAGATCTTGCGTGTGTCTCGTACTTTTTTGCTTAGTTCGTATATTTGGCACCTGAGTTAGCAATTCGTACAGCAGACGCCACCAGAAGGCGCCACCGGCACATGCCACCAGCACCAGGAGACGCCACCGGCTCGCGCCACCAGCAGACGCCACCAGCTGGCGCCACCAGCAACCTGCGTCCTTACATCCGTGGCCCCTGCAATCACGCCCGAATCTCCGCTCGACAAAGGAACAGTCTTGCATGTTCACATCCGGAACACCTCGCACTCGCATTCGGAACACCGGGTCTCCAAATGGAACGTCGTCGCGCACGGAACACCACGAACCGCGCAACCCTCGCGCGATCTGTTCGGGTGGCGCCACCTGTCGGGCAACATCGGCAACGCTAGTAGTTCCGCTGCGGCGTCCGACCCTCGTCGTTCGCGTACGCGTGGTACCCGGGCGCGTAGCCAGGCAGCGCCCTCTGGTAGCTGTCGGCGTAAGCGTGCGCGTCGGCGTGCGGCAGCGGACCGTTCGGATACGGTCGCGGCGGCATCATCGCGTCGCCGCGGTAACCGCCGTGCTGTCCGTAGGGGCCGTGCACGCCGCAGGCGCCCCCTAGGAACGCGTACGGCGCCGCCGCCGCCGCCGCCGCGTGGTGGTTCTCGTTCTCCCACGAGGGGGCGCCGCCGCTGCCGCCCGGCTGCGCGGCGGGGACGCGGGATGCGCGCGTCTCCTGGTCGTCACGGCGACCGATGTTTGGCGAGCTGTGGCTGATTGGTCCGTTAGCGACGCCGCCGCCGGCAGCAGACAATGTCGCTGCGACCTTAGGAGACTGAGACGCCGCCGCCGCGGATTCTGAAACGAGAACGGGAAGCTGTTACATGAGCTGTCGTCACTGCTCCTCCTCCTCCTTACATCATCCCTACATGGCTTCATCATCCCTACATGGCTTCATCATCCCTACATGGCTTCATCATCCCTACATGGCTTCATCATCCCTACATGGCTTCATCATCCCTAC